ATATATATATATATATAAGATAGTATAATACATACTCCAAGTATCGAAATTCATGCTGTAGTTTCGTACGTACGCTAATGTTGATTGAAACAATTTGAAAATTTGGTAGAACCCCAAACCCCAAAATCGTGGATCTTGCACTGTGACAGGCCCATCCGGCCGGATATGTATTATTGTTTACATAAATTACCTATCATATTTATTTCATATCTTCCGTCTTTACATTAATAAAAAATACATAGGCGATTAGTATACTCAACATTTGCATTAAAAAATTAAGTTCCCATATACACTAAAACGGTATCAATCAGCTTTACGTATCGGCAAGAATGAATTCACAAGTAATGACAAGTATAGTACCAAACAGCTGCTTTAGATTAGGCAGTTGCTTTTGTTATTTTAACAGTTACATCATTTGTCAACAAATTTCTAATTTTGATTGGATGTTATTGTTTTAATCCAACCATGCATACACTAACATCCAATCAGAGTTAAGCCTCTTATTTTGAATATAGAGAGTTCCGTTACCTCTGGGTCCGCTTCATTATTCTCCTAGTGTGAGCAGCGGAGGAGGGTGTGAACTGAGAGAGACACAGCGGGTGAGTACCAGAGTAAACATTTAATAGGCCTGTAGACTATTGTTAATAAATATATAATGTAGGCCTACTATTAGAAGTTATTCTGATGAAGTTTACACGACCGGTTAGTTAATAATGTCTTCAATTGTGAAGTTTTTACTACCTTATGCCTAGCTTTAAAAAAATGGCTGAATTCAAGCATTATAGCGAAACGTTTAAAGATTTACTTTGCTTTGTCATAGCATTTTCTGAAACAAGACACAGATTTACTTTGCTATATCATAGCATTTTCTGAAACGAGACACATACGGGTTTAACTAGCATACCGTGACTTAGTACTTAATGATTTGCATCTTCGACGTTATCATTGTGATTCAAATATATATCTAAGTCATTGTATTAAGCTTGCATATATATTTTCGATAGATCTAATGGGATTGAGAAAAGGCATGCTTATACATTACTACTACCTGTACCACCCATGTATCATTTTTTCGACATGTAACTAGTGCACTAATGACAATGTTGCTTGTGTTGTATTGCAGGTCTTACAAGTGGATGTCATATTCCTGACGTCCATGGATACAAAACAAAAATTGTTGGCGCCATTAAGTTTCTGCGCCAACACTGCAAATAATTGTTAGGCCTTTTTTGGGATTGATTAAACGTTATTTGACTTTTTGGCATCTATATCTAATCTTCCCTATCTTATTTCATTTCATTGCATTTCATCTCATTTCATTTTATTCGAATACAACAACTTACATCTACTTTATTCTATTAACATGCACATAATCAGCACATAATTATTTCGTAGGTTTTATTTTTATTACTGTTATTTTATTTAAAATATTTTATTATACTGTCGTAATGTTAGATTTTTTTAATCCTTATTATAGGTTTTTTTTTTTATTTTATTGTTGTTTTACTATTTTATGTTTATTATTGTTATTACGTAAATTTCGTAGAGGCCACTAGTCAAATTTCAAATACGAAATTAGTGAAATTTTATATTTGCCAACTGGAGTCTTTCGACGTTTGCGCCTTTTTATCCTCCTTGACGGGCTGATTTGATGAACGCCATCGCGTCTTCGAGCATCCAAGCATCAATCATAGTAAGAACTAACATGTATTGAAACCAAGAAGCTAATATATAGACCTATATAATACCTTTTTGGTTAAAATGGGATGTTGCATCCATTTCTACTAACACACAGGTGTAGACATTAGGCTTTCTTTTTCAGGGCAACGAAGCTAATAATAGTTATGGTGGAGATCTTGTTGATACTATGCAATGTTAATACTTTATAGGAAACTTGGCTAGATTGTATATTTGAAAAAAAAGGTTTAATGATGTTACAGAATTGCAATGATAATATAGATGAACCATGGATTCCATGGCTAAACTTCAGTAGGTATTAAAATCTCCATGCTAGGCCACTGTCACTAAATGTTGATAGTCTGACAACATTAGATCATATATCCAGCAACTTTTTGACATCATCAATTTATCATACTAAACAGCATCAACTAGACTATTTATGAATGTATGTATTATGAAAATATTGAACTAACACTTAGGCCGATATAAAACAGTTGTTGTTTAATTATGTTGATTATAATGCAAATGTGACGGGACCACAGGTAAGTTACTAACACAGCAAGACATCGCCTCGAGCATCCAAGCATCAAACCAAGTAAGTGAACTAATCACTATAGGATTGTTTGTGTAGAAAAAAAAAACAATCGTACTAATATCCTACCCAATGCCCATCTTGTATTTTTATTTATTTATTTTATTATTCGTGCCGATAGTTGGTTAGGTCAGTATTTGATAATGGTAGCAGGTGCTGCCTCAATGCGTCTTCAATTGTGTACCTACGAAATTGTTGCAATAAAACTGTACAAACAACTGTGTCTTGTCTATTTGTCCGTGTCTTTTTGTTTATCACACCATGATGATTACCCACCCCCCACATACCAAACATTGTATCCCTATGAATTTGTTTCAATAAATCGATGCATTAGAACATGCGTTTATGACTCGTTTATTTAACATCTACAGAAGTGTTTTTGTTTGAATCTGTTACGAATTGTAATTTTGTAAAATCAATGTAAAACAATAGTAAATGGAATTCATTTACCATTGTTAAATTTCAATGTATGTAAATCCAAGATGTATAATAACTAATAGCATGTCTTTTATTTCAGAAATATTAATTTTGTTTTCCATGGACAGAGCAAGGCGACAAATACCTTGTGCATCACAGGTCTTTATCGCCTATGCATGTGTGCGGAATAAATAAATATATGTTCAATCCTTATTTTATAACTTTGAAGTTCATTTCATTTCAGAAAAAAAAAATGATGCTTGGGAAATATGTTAGCATACTGATTGGATGGTGGTACTTATGCCGATGACTAATTATCGACGTGGAATGAGAATGAAAAATATTAATGATGATTGTGATGATGACGGAGCGATGAATATTTAATAGTGACGATTAATACAGATTTTAAAGTTGTGATTAGTTCATATGAGTTTCTGTGAGTTGTGATTTAAGCCGATTACAATATACTATAATGAAAAATGATGGCGATGAATGACAGTGATGACGATTAACGATAATGAAATGGTGTATCTAAACTTGCAAAGGTAAGTTGTGAGGTAATGTTTGAATGTCTGAAAGTTTCCAAGGCGACTTTGTGGGGTTGTGAAATGACGTGATGTAAAACTAGAGCAATAATAACAGGCCATACCTATAAATTATATTGTTTTCATTTTAGAAAAAGAAAAAACACAATATTGATAATGCATGTTTTCCGAATAAATCAAATCAATTTGCTATGTGGAGTAGTGCCTCTTCTGATGGACAACTGTGTTCATGGGGACGACGATAACGATGAGAATAACGAGGATGTTGTAATGATGGCGATATAGATGATACAGTGATAACGATGGTGATGATGAAATGGTAGACCTGTACTTGAAAATTAGGTAAGTTTCAATGCATTGGGGCTTGTTAAATGATGTGTGGTTAGCGTACTTGCTGCGACTACTATTTAGTTGAAATTCTGTCATGTTTAAATTAGTGGATCCAGGATATTTTGGCCGGTGTGGGAGCAAGAATGGCGATTAAAAACCATTTCCATCACACAACTCGGTAATCCTTGCAATATTAGCTTTTGAAACTTTGTATTTTAACTTCGAGCATCTTGTATTTTTTTTAATTTAAGAAATTTCTCTTTGTGTAACATGTGTATGTTTTTAAATTATAATATATATTTTTCCTATTAATGTGGGTTTATTTAAGGAACCATATCTCATAGCTGTGTAACAGTTTTATCGTATCGTATTGAAACCCATTGTCAGAGGAGAAGGTTCCCTTACCAATTCTGTGGGACCAGTGCCATATTTATTGATCTAAATTTCAAGTTAGAAACTTGATTACGACCTTTTATGTCCAGGGGATGTTGGAGGCGAGCTGAACATCCTTTTCGCTAAGTGTGTTTAACATATTGAATTGAATTTATTTGGTATAAAACAACATGATTCATGTTAACATGAGTTGATATTTCTTAAGTACATATTAATTATTTACGTAGTGCTTGTGGACTGTTCTCCGACCTGACTGTAATGTAGAGTGATCGATTTAAAAACAGGAAATATGTGGACGTCGATGGTTAATATTGATGGAATGGGGATGGACGTCTATGATATTACTAAAGAAAGTTGATGATGCTAAGGTGAGTTTCAATGGCTTTTGTTTTAAATTGCCCGTTTGATTATGCATTCTGTTACAAATGACATGATGGGCTGCAACAGCGGCGTATCAAAAATTACCCTAAAATAGTTAACCAGCAGCTATCGCCACATACTTCGAGTCCCCTACCCACAGCCATTTCAATACCCTAGACATGCCTCTGGGCTACAACCTATTGTGTAATAAACAATACTATTGCATTGTTAACAAAACAAGTGCATATAGTGATGTCTATTGCTGAGAAAATTTTGGGAATTATTTACTTTCTTATTTGATATAATTCCAACTAATTGGTTAAATTAGATCCGTCCTTCCATTTTAGAAATATTAATTTTGTTTGAAAGCTCAGTCCGCAGTTATCAAGGCAACAGATACCTGTGTATGGACAAATCACATGCATTTTTTTCAGCAAACTTGATAGCTTGAACACAGTTTATTGTTAAGCTTTTTTTCATCAAAAAAGCGTCACATAAAATGTGACGTTCAACTTTTGTTTAAACAATTTGATAAGTGATCACATATATGACGTCATCGACCTATATATGTGCAAATTATATAATTTTATAGTGTAGACAAATCTTTAGACTTTTCAACTTTTGTCAATTTATTATATCTGTATATATTATATTATTATTATCATATGTATAATATATAATATTATTGATTTGTGGAAATAACATTGAACATTGAACGAAATTCTATTACTTTTCTAATTTTATTTTGCCATTATCAGTCTTTGTATTACCAATTTTTTTTCTTTATCATTCTTATGATTTTTTTCCTGGGTATCTTGTACCTTTATGAATTGTCACCTGTATGCGTGTGTGCAAAATAAATAAGTATATTCCATGTGTTTGGCTACTCCTTAGGATGCCCATTCAATACATATTTTATAACATTTAATATTGTTTTATTTCAGAAAGAAACCTGGTGATTTTGATAATGATGCTTGTGGATATATGCTATGATTGTCTGGCGGTTCTTCTGCGAATGGATAATTTATCGATTTTAATTGAAAACAAAAGTTGCAGTGATGTTGATGGTGGTGATGATGATTGTAATGATGATGGTGTTAGCGATATATACATGTAGACCTTTCATATCGACATGAAATGAATATTGAACGAATCCGATGATATAATTCATGATAACGAGGATGTTGTTGCTGATAAAGATGGTGATAGAGATGACGTTAAAACAATAACGACGATGATAATTTCACGGTACTTGATTACTAGTATTACTCTTGAAGATTTACTTTTGCTTATCCTCTTATATTGGATACAAATATGGACTGCAAAGTTTTGGTGGTTCCTGTGAGCTTTTAGTGAGTTGTGATTTGAGTTGATTAACAGACTTTGCTATTAATTACAACATAATAAAATGACAGATGACGGTGATGATGTTTGAATGCAATAGGGCTATTGGGATATGCATAGGCCTGTAAATTTTACAACATAAAATTGTTTTCATTTCAGAAATGAAATAATAATAGTAATGATTGCGATTTTCAGACTAAATTGCTTCAACGCGTTTCTTTTGATGGTGAATATTGAGGACGATGATAATCATAACGAATATGATCTTATATAATGATGGCGATATAATGATCTTGGTGACAATGAAATGGTAGACCAGTTTGTAAAGGTAAGTTTGAATGCCTGGGGCTTGTGAAATGATGTGAAATCAACCTGGATAGACTATTGGTTAACGTATTTAATGTGACAACTGTGTAGATGAAATTCTGTCGGTAACTGAGAACCTGGCATTAAACTAAATGATGAAGCCTGGATAGTTTTACCAGAGTGAAAACCAAAGTCCGAGTTTATTGAACATTCAAATTCGGGGGTCCAGGAGCCATGTCATTCAAAATGATTTCAAACTTCACTAGGATTTTTCGTCTGTCTTGAGGGTGTGGGAGGCGGAGAAGGCACCCTTTTTGCAAATGTCAATTGTTTTCATCAGGTTTACGCAGTACATTATTTGTAAACACAGTGCAACAGAAGTGGTTGATATGCAAGGCCTTGAATTCTTGTGAACTGTCGCCGACTTCAACATACTGAAACTGTGTGCGATCGACTAAAAAAGGGATCTACTGGTGGACATTGGTGGATTAAATCTTGATTTTACTAAAGGTTGGTTTCAATGTTGCTTTCTTGAAATTATACTACCAAAAAAAAAATGGATTAGATCTACATGAGTGTTTTTCATCCTAATGAATACAAATTATGTTTCAGATAACATGAATATATTACTATATCTTCGCAGGAATTCGGAGTGATCAAGCTAATACCAGTACTGACCCAGGAAGCAAATTTTGTTTAGTTTATCAGCAGAATAACATCCGTTCAGATGGAATGAGCCAATCTGGTCGATTTAATTTAGAGATGCCGAGTATTTTTGCCAATAACCTAGAACGTACAATTAGATATTATGGTAAAAAGCATTTGTCATTGCAGTTGGTAATATTAAATATAGGCTATATAATAATATTTAATAATAATAATATTTAAAAAAATATTTTTTATTAAAAATAAAAGCCTACATTTAAAATAATTATTAACAACCGTACGAATACAGTATTCATCAATACAATTACTTTGTTCGTTTTGTATATTTGTCATCATCCATGTATTTGTTTGTTTCGTACATTACTGTTTGATATCACTTTCATCATTTCATTTCGCCCTAACCTAGTCCACCCTCTCTCATATCTACCTCAATTTGGCCTATAGATAGGTCGTAGTTTAAGGTGTAGAGTTAGTATTAGCTAGGTTAAATAGGTCGTAGTTTAAGATGTAGAGCTAGTATTAGCTAGGTTAAAAAAGTAGATTTCCTTCCTAGATGAGAGAGGAATGGGCAATGCATTAACCTCCTTCATCAACATCAATTCAATGTATCGAATCATTTTATTACCGTACTGTATCGTATTGTGTTCGTCCAAAAATACTATTGATCAATAAAAACATATAAAATAAAGACACAAATAATTATAAATTTAAAAGTATAACAATTGCAATGACATGTGCTGAAATAATGTCTTAATATGATAAATTAACTGATATCATTTGCTATATATTCAGTTGTAATAATTGTGATGTTGATGCAAATAAAAATTATTAGTAAGGCCGATATTATGCTTAGTTGTATATATTTTTCACACCAGCATTATGAGCATATTATTAAACGTTGGATGTTAAACCTATACCTAAAATTAAAAATCCTTGAACGACTTCCGACGTCTTGTTAACTTCAAACATTTCATTATGTTCGAAGATCAGAAAGTATCCAAGGAATAACAAAAGCGGCATGGCCACTGTGATCCACAAGGATGTGCTATAATAATTAATTTGCATACTGTAAAAACAGAGGAACTGATGCCTTTTGTATTTCTAAATAATGTAAACATCTGCAAAAGCCAAGAGCTTTTGTAGGGTCAGTTTCTCAACATTTTTCAACAACATTATTATTCCACAGTATTGCTAGATTAATTTGAGTTTGATTTCGATCCTAGAATAAAATATTAAATTAAAATGTTAAATGTAATAATATAAGGTTATATAAACTTGACTCCATTCACCTTCATAATGGCAATGTTAATAGATAATTCTGGTGCAATTTTGGCCTAATTTAATTAGGTTTTATATGTAGTAATATTTAATAATGTTTAATATTCATTGTATGTATGCCTACATCTTATGACTTTAATTTGTTTGGTGCTTGTTTTATATCCTTGTTATTGTTTATTTATTACTGTGTATGACAATGGAATGTACTTTTTCAGACAATAAAAATTATCTCGAATCTTCAACTCTTGAATCTATTATTATAAATACTTGTTTGATGAAAGTTCGACGTGAAGAGAGGGTGAGAGGTCAAGTATACAAAAAATATACAATGAATTAAAAATACATATACAATATACACAGTGGGACAACCTTCAATTAAGGGAGAAATGTTTCTGCTCTTGAAGGTGTCCCTTTAAGGCTTTTAATGGGATAGAATATTTTCAATACAAAATTGAATTATTATACAGTAGTATTTACATATATTATATTAATAATATGTAAATACATAGTTTGCATAATTTTCAGCAGAATATATTACATCTGGAAGGAAAATATTAACACACCAACAATCACTAAACTAATAATGTACATGTCAATATGTACCGTATGAAAGCAGTCAATAAAACCTTAAGACGTATACAACAAACAATATGCAACTAACACTACGAGGGCAAAGTGAGCCAACGGGAGCCTTGGCCAACTGCCTCCCCTCCCCTCACTAGAGCGCCCTGTCAAAGAAGTAACGTTTTTGCATCCTGGAATCCTAACAGTACCGTACCGTACTGTATTCTGTTTCAATGGCATTTAAACGTGAATACGGAAATCCTGTATACAGTGTGAACTCCTGAAATCTTGTATACTGCGCTCATATTTGTAGAATCGGCTTCAAACAAAATAATTAAATGCCAAGACAAAATGAAAATACACATAAGGAAACAAAGAACGATTTGAACTAATATAGACGTCCTACTTAGCTGAATTCTGAAGTCTGTTTTGCATGTTTGATGTTTTCATGTAGACTTTTTTTTTCAAAAAAGGATCCCTGGAATATTTTCGATTTATGGGGCCTACACATACCGGTACTGAAATAATACATAGTCTTAGTCTTATAAGAGGTGGGGAAAGGCCGTAATCACAGAAAGGAAACAATTAAATGGCCTATACTTCGATACTGTACTTAAGTTTCTTATTCTAATCCCCTGATGAACAAATAATGTTGCTGTAAGAGATAATTTGTATAAAAAATAAAAAAAAAATAAAAAATAAAAAAAAAAAACGTTCAAAACATGACTGCAGAAATTACGATTTATTGCTTTTATTGTTTTTTTCTTTTGAGATAGTTAACGATTACCTTTACCTCGAAAAAAAAGATCTGCTTGAAGGAGGGAACAATCGAAGATGTAAAGCGATGAACACACCTAGCCTGGGCTAAGTTCGTTGGCAAATTAAAGTACATGCTGAGCATTTGGCTAATTGGTATGGTTCCTGCCTCTATGGACCCTGTACCTGTGAATGCCGTAGCCTACTCTGGCCACATTTCTCTTGTAAATTCCTCTGCTACTATTGAGTTATTATTATAATTATTGTTAGGCCTTATTATGTATGGTCTATTGCAACTAACTTTATTCTCAAAAAGCAGTCCTCAAACGTCCAGAAGGCACACCTCTCCGGGGTCTTTGCCCCTGGATTGCACCCAAGTTCCTTGGCTTTGGGGGGTAGTCCCCTCCAACCCCCACCCCCTAACCCACCTCTTCCGGCTCGGTACCACGTAGGACTCCTCGCAAGACGGCTTTCTCCACTTCGAAAATTCTGGCTGCGTCCATTCAACCTTGCCCCAGGGACAACCCCTCCGTCAGGAGGAAAATCTACCGGAACCTTAAAATTTACAACACAGTATTCAATCCGCTATATCACTATTTAGATCACATTTTTACTTTTTATAGTTACATTAAACATTAATTTTTTTTTAAATTAACAGAGAAGGCCTGTATGTTGGGGGATTTAACATGATACCGCAAACCTTTCTTTTCCATACACCCCCTTTCATCAACTTTGCTCTGCCTCTGAAATATAAGGTCTTGAAATATTCCCTTAAAGTTAAACTTGGGCACGGGCCATGTAAATTAAAATGGTTTTTTTTTTCAAACCAAAAGTAGCTACAGTATTTCAAAAACAAAAAGTACTAAATATTTTCTTCCTGAATGGGCTTCAACAGGCCAAGTAAATTTCTGACGGAAGTTTCCAATCGAATACATCTTTGCCGCGTGTATTTTTCTTCGGCTCAACGGACCGTAACACCACACTGACACACATAGAGGAGCGCCCGTAAACAAACAAGAAGATGATAATGCGTGCTCCCATAAACAAGGTGTTTACAACTGGAAAGATGCATGTTAGCAAGAAGTATGCAGGTAGATGGGGTGGTATTAGAATACGGCGACCTAAAACGATGATGAAAAGACTATCAGCTCTGGCCCTGGTTGCATTCTTCATTACTCTCTATTTGATATTCCAAACAGGGAGGTTGCAAGGAAAGGGCGGCGGCAGGGGGATTCACCGTTTAAATTGTGAGTACAGTATGATAGCCACCTAAAACACTGATGATGTGCCTATAATAGGGCCTCTAGCTAGGCCTAGCCAAGGATAGGTTTGTTTAACTTTTAGTGAAAATAGGCCTAGTGCCTAGTCTAAGTTAGTACCGAGGCTTAAAACTAAAAAAACCTATTTTGTATCCTAGAAGCTAACTTTGGTCACAGTCAGTGCCATTGCTGGAATTCTCTGATACTACAATTACACATTTTACAGTTGAAAGCCTAGGCTAGGCCTAGTTGAGTTAATCCTTTATCAATCCTTTTGTATTTTTTTGGTCCGGGCCAAAAAATGTCCAGCGGACAGATTTTGGCCACCAAAATCGGTCCGCCGAACTACTAAAATCGGACTTCCAGATTGATTTTAGCCGCTAAAACCGGTCCCGCTTGGATAAAATTGGTCCACGTTGGCCTGGCCACTTCATTTGTAACTCGTCTGCTGCTCGTAGGGTATGATTGATTCTCCCGTGGAGTGGAGGAAAGTATGCTTCTCCCACACTTGAGAGTCTTTTGCAGTGACAGAATGTTTTGTTAAGCTTTTGAGGAAGTGTTTTAATTTTTATCAAACCACCAGATACTGGTAATGCATTTTCTAGGCCTAGGCGATACACACAGCGTGCATCATTTTCGGCGACCGTGGTTAGGGCTACGTTTGGGCCTAAAATGAAACACAAGACAGATTTATTAGTTTTAAATATTCCGTATTATTGTGTAAGGTATTGGGTCATACAATAGATGTTCTAATGCATGAAATAAAGGAGTAAGCATTCTCAGAATTGAATACATGTACAGTACTTCCTCGCAGAACACACACAACCAAAACAAAACAAGGTAAAAAATGAACTACAGTGGACCAACACGAAGACCACATCGTTTAACTTCTTTTCATACTTTTACACCAATGAGTTTACTGGACGCGAAGCTTTACTTAATTTTCACCGGCGATTTCACCTATGATTTCACATACAATAACGAATGAAAATATATTAGGTTATATAATAAGGGATAAGATATTTATCTATCATTTGATTAAAAAAAAAATATGAACAACATTATAAAAATACAAGTTATAACTATTTAATAGATGCCGGACCCATTTTGGCTTTTGGCAGGTAATTTTATGGCTAAAATCGGTCTGTCAGTCCGATTTTGGCCCCGGACCAAATTTTTCCTGACAGGCCTATTGAATTATTGTATGATTGGATGGTTGATTTGCAAGATGCCGGGGGTGTGATTGGTTTGGCGACCACTTCAGTAGAGTCGGTCCATGATCAGGATGGCTGAATACGATCAGGATAATCTGGAAAAATGTAACAATTCCCGGAATAACTTGCACTACAGTAGGTAAAATAGAATAGAAGTAGTTTTGTTTACTGCTACTAAATTGTGGAATTAACACAGTAACCTCCAGAGGAATCTGATGCATGCTCTAAATACTAAATAGTTGATACTTTCAACTTTTGGAAATTCTATTGCAAAGATTGTATGAATGTGACTTCCAAAAATTGACAAGGCCATTTTATTCTATGTTTCGCTAAATTATTAAAGCATCATCAAGAATAATACAAAACAAAGAGACAAAGACAATGCCTAAAGTTACCACAATCCTAATTAATATGTATTATTTAAATGAGGAAATTATCCAATCAGAACAAAGTAGGTAGACCTATTATCACTGATGAAAAATTATATTGAGAATGAAAAATTCTGAGATAAGAGTAGCAAATGTACTGTAGATAATCTCAGTGGACACCCTTAAAGTATTAATAATGCATCTACGCTTTAATAATACTAAACAAACACTTTGGATACCACCAATGCTTCAGCACTGCCAGTGTCAATCAAAGACAGAATACATAAAAGAATTACATAAAATAAAAAAATGATAAGTTGAAATCACCATCTGTTAATTTAAAAATCCAAAATTTGCAAGATGTGTTATAATCAATTAATGTTATTTACAGTATCAGACAATTGTCTATTGTGACATGTTTATCTAAAAAAATTGGACCTAATAATGCTAAAAACGCAGAAGTTTATGGGATAATAAAATGGCCACAATAAAAACCTATTGTCAGTGTCTTGCTTTATGGGCGTAAGCAGCTGAAATTTATTAGGTGTAATTGTAAATTAATTGTATTTTAACTAAGCCAACTTTATAGTACAGGAAGTAGCTATACCCATAGCACAGTGATAGTCCGAGTCAAAAGCGTAAGCTGTTCAGTCAGTTAAAGCGTATGGCAGCGTAATTATAATTATAAATGCTCTAAATTGTTAATTTTCAATTGTTCACGATAATGCTTAAATAATCTTCTCTAACCGTTAATACAAATGCCAATGGTAAAGATTATTTATAGGAATTGGTCTTCTGGAATGGATTGATGGGAATGGTTTTCCGCAATTGTCTTCCGGATCATGTAGTATCTGCTGACCGTAGTAGTGTGAATGTATTTAAATTCAGGATCCGGAGGAAACATTTTAAAAAATATTTTGTATAACTGATTTTTCTAAAACACAAAAATCATTTCTGACAACAAATTCAGGAACAGTTAATGAGATTTTTTTTTTTGAATATTTAAAAGCTGAGGGAAAAAGGTTTTAAGTATTCAAAATTCTGTACCTCATTAACCGTCTCAATTAAAGATCACATCTGGACCTAGGGTTTCGTGGTCCTTAGCAGCTTTGATCTTTGAATATTATAGAAAAAAAGTATTTTTATAAAAATAAAAGGTAGACATTCATTTGGGCTGCATAGAAAGATGTCCTTTAATTAGAGGTGGTCTTTAATTGGAGGGGTCTTTATTAGAGGGATACTTTTTACACATTACATACTTTATCAATTGAATATGTAATGTTTTATACACAGATCCATTGTTCTGCTAACCAAACAATAGTGCACTTCATAGTAATTGATTTGGAATGGGATAATTTCAGTAATTGTCAGGTGTTGGAAGCTTGAATAGTAAACACTACATTAGTGGACATACAAAGTTTTGTAGTTATTTACATCTGGTAGTCAGTGTATGTCTGGTGTGTTTTCGAATTGGTATAATATAAGTACTGTATGTGTGCCAAGTGATGGTAATGCTTGCTCTGGGTGGAAATGCATTCGACTTTATGAAAGTCAATTCTCTGAATTTATGATTATTCTCAATAGTGAATTATTGATTGGGACAACAATGATGGTCGTTTGGTGTCGTTGATTTTCAATGTACTGCAAGTGCTACCTCTTCATTATTTATATCACCTGCGAAATTACATCTAATATTTTTGTTCTTTTCTATTTATAGGCAATTTTAAAGTGCACTCAAGGGGAGTGTTTGTGAGGGGGTGTCCCCCTTCCAAGTGAGATTTTTTTAAAAAATAGGACCTGGATGACTGGAAATGTACTCTCAGACTGGCAGACATGTGTTGGCTTGGCGTAGGCCTTAATATTTTTTTGGTCCGACTTGCCGGATTGCTTGACTATCTTCTTTTTTTTTTTTCTGGGGCGTTTATTAATGAGCAGTTATTCAACTAAAATTCAGTGAGTTTTTTATATTATTTTTTTCTTTTCAGTAGCAGGTATCTTCCAACAACCAACAAGAAACCCCTTTGATATGAAGTTTAAAGGTAAAAATCTGTTGTATATGTGTTATTTCTAAATAATGTTGAAGAAAACAATACAGATTACATAAATTTATAATTTAAGAGTTTATTTAATTGTCATAGTATTGTTATCATCTACAGTAATTTTCGTCACTATAATTAATGTCATTATTATATTTAATTATAATTTTTTACCATATTTATACAAAACCAGAACAAACAATTGATTTAATCATTGTAATTATAGAATTATTTCTGTTATTTTATCATCATAATTATTTAATTGTCATTAATATTATCATAATCATCATCATTATAATTATCATTACCATCACTATTATAGTGATCATCATTTGCATCATTTTAATCACTATATTATCATTTTACTTCCCATTTATAATATCTCTATTATCTTTTTCTTCATCATCATCATAATCATCATTTCCATTGATATTATCACTATTACCATTATCCTCATCCTATCATCATTGTTGTCAATGACATCATTACAGCATTACTCTATTGTCATCACTACCATCATCATATTCAAAATTGTCATCATCATAATCAATATTATCATTGATCTTCATCAATATGAACGTCATAATCAAGCCCTCCTTGACCTGGTAATTTATCGATTTCAACGATATCTATTGCTCTGTATTTTGTTAGGAAAAGAACGTATGCCGCCAACAATTGAGAATTTGGACAGAGCGCCTGTAAGCCACACGGCAGACTTTCTCCTGGATTACTTCCTGACAATGAACGTGGACGGCACTCAGATCACCTGGCTCAGGAACACCAACACAAGAGGGTTGTTGCAACAAGCATTAGATGGTAATATACAGCATTGTAAAGATGAGAAGCAGGAGATGTTGGTGATAATATTTGATGGTATATGATGGTTGTGGTTGTGATGATGACAATGATGATAATGATGACGAATGATGATGGTGGCGCCAGTGGGGGCCTCTGTGAGGAAGAGCTTTCTCCTACCCCCTTCCCCGACGGAGGATAAGCATTTGAAACCCTAAATTGATAAGATTTTTAGGGGGCTTCGGCCCCTTGACCACTTTCAAAATATTTTGAGCGACACCTAACCACGCCCACTTTGCTTTCCTCGGACCCCCTGTCATGCAAATCCTGGTGCTACCAGTGGACGTTTTGTGGTGATGTTGTGATGGATACCATAATGGTAGTGTGCTGTTGGTGATGATGGTCATTCATATTCATGGTGATAATGATGGGGAGGAGGAAGAAGTGATGTTGTCGGTGGTGATGATAAAGATGATGGAGGTCATGTAATGGTGTAATGAATATTAATGTCATGGTGGTGATGGTAATGACAGCACGAGTGATGATGGTAAGATAATCATGTTTTTTTTTCTCAAAATTCAAAAGTGTATTGTTTACTAACTATTTATTGTACAGATTAGCCCATATTAATCTATCATGTGTCTGTCTGTATGCATACTCATTTATAATTTTAAGCCCTATCTCAAGAAATGGACAGATTTGGTAATGAATACAAATATATAATACGTAAGATAATTTTAACCTTGATTAATCTGCATCATTTTTATCACATTAATATTTAATCATGCTGCATTGCACAAGGTTCCTTTAGTACAACAGTACCAGGTTCCAATTTACACTCCTTGGTAGAGAGAGACGATGTAGCTAAATCACCCAAAAACACAAACTAAATGTACACTTCAAAACCCTGAACCACAACCACTTTGCCAACCGATTAAAAGAACATTTAGAATTACTTTCCTTGACATTACTGTATTAGATTCTAAGTAAATGATACTTGATTGTTACCTTGAACACATTTTTACTTTGTTTTCAGATTATAAATTAATGATGGTTGAGGTTGATGTCGTTGCAGAAAATGACAAGAGCACTCAGAATCTGACAGCTGTAGTCGCACCATCTGATACCAACGTCGAATATAATTTAAAACTGGAATCTTTTTTAACATACATTTCAACTTATTCAAATAAAGGTGTAAAGCTGAACTTTGACTGTTTAGATGCAATTAAAATGGCTTTAAAAAGTCTGAAGGCATTAGAGTTTGATTTGCATGCACCCATCTGGTTGGCTGTTGATGTTCTGCATGGTCCCAACGCTGACATAGACAAGGAACCTGTTGATCTCCAAAAGGCAGTTGACTTGGTGAAAGAGTACTACCCTCCAATTACACTCTCATTAGGTTGGCAGACAGATTGGAGTCCAGAACCAGTTGAAACTGGTTATAGCTGGTATCATGTCATCAGTATGGCAAAATTTTGTGTCAAATTTCAACAGCGTGCTTCATTCTCTATACGTGCTGTCTATGCTGCAGAATCAGTACGCCAGATTAAATGGTTACTTAGCCTCTCAAGCCGATTTTCGGCAGTTTTATGGCTGGCAGAGCATGACGTTGTATCCGTATCGGCAATGGTGTATTTTCGCAAGCAAACCGATAAAAAAAAGATATTTTATATCCTACCAACAAATTTCCTTGATGAACTAAAATTAACTGAAACTGTAGCCCAAGAAGACGGGGATAGTAAATTTGATAGAACGCTGTGGAAGCCGGCTTTACTTGATGAACAGTCGTTAGCATTTTTAGGAAAAGAGCAGGCGGTTTTGGAAGGTGATAATAGTTGGCTTGTTTCAAAAGACCCACATCAGCCCGGTAGCTCAGGTAGAACAAATATAGAAGTTCATGGCAATGTGCAATTTGTAGAATCGCCAAAGAAATCAGATAGTATTGCAAAGTTTTCATTATTTATTCGCTGCTCCGGCGTAAATCCGCCGGAACCCAAAGACGTGCATGGAGTTAAGCTTGTCATTCTAAAAGACGGAACAGTCACGCTTAGTTCGCAAAATTTAGTTAAAGCGGGGATGTATAAAACACAGACCTCTGCTAAGCTGCCAGAAAGCAGTTGCTTCGCATTTAAAGTCATTGATTCGGGTGAGGCGCAACCAATCCTTTGCACCATCTCAATAATAAATTGCAAAAACAGAGAGGAAGTCTCGTCTGATAAGTCTGAAGTATCGCTGCATTTAATAGCGCCGTATGATGATTCTCGACAGATGTTCTTTATAGCGGTGACAGGTGGAAGCACTGCAGAGGCAATTGTTGTAGAAAACCTAATCATATCATGAATTAATCAATAAGCTATGCAGTGACAGTGTGGCCTAGGTGCAACCCTACAGTGACTCCCAATGATTTGACATAATAATTATATTTGAGAAAAGGGTCAGCATTTCATTACGATTGTATGATAGGTAGACCTGGAATAAGGCATATGAGCTCCTCGGAATCAACGGCCAACCTTTGCTTAGTTTAAGGAGTAGGATTACTTAGGTTAAGTAATTATTACTTTCTTGGTCCATTTTTGTTTTACGTTTATGTTAAGCGCATAGAGGTCTCCACAATATGCATACTATCAGTCGACCATTATTATAATTATTAGAGAATTTATCCTTTATTGTGTCTTTGCCGCTTACAAATACAGTAGTTAGTCATGTACTTTCTTTATGCTTCCTGTTAAAATACCCATATATATATATATAGTGTATATTCATTAGTACTTTTTCCCATGATATACTACGAGGTCATCGTATCCAAATAACGATATTTAATTTATTTGATTGCTATTCCCTAATATTGTGATCTAAAAGCACAGATTGGGCCGTCCTCAGCCATAAAATCCTACCAGGGATTTTTATTTTGGAACCCTGACTGATGCTCTAGTCGGCCCCTTGGTTCGAGCCTCTCGTCAGATATGTCAGACCCATGTAGGAAAATGTCTGAAGCCACCACTGGTTCATACCAAATACTCTATTTACTGTATATATCTGGTTATTATGATCGTATCATTTTTTACTTTGAATGCCAGAAACACTCCCATTGTTTCCATATTGCCTATAACATAAATTACATCATATAACACAAAATAGTACAACATTTACAAAATAATACGATTATGATTTATAAGTGATTGAATTCAGTTATTCAGTGTACAGGGTACATTCAACAGAATTTGGTAGGAAATCGGTTGTAATCGAGTTACATTTCTTTTTTTTTGTAGTGTAGAAAGGGTTAATTCTCCTGAGAATCATATGATAATAGCTTGTCAATGTCATACTCTAGTTGAAAAGATGACCCATGTGTTTCCATCACAGATGATTACTTTACATGTTCGCTGCCAGGGGCGCTATTTCACGTTCCGACAGGGTTTAGTGAGGGCGCCAAGGACACGAGTTCAGTCCACACCTGTCCATCATACCGCTGTTGTATTGCACGTAAACTTCGCCGGCAGTAGTCACCACAACAAGAAATCTTGCCCTGGAAGTTCAGCGAACAACCTGGAAGTAATCTAAAAATTACTATTCGTGTTTCATTACTGTTGATGGGAATAATTTTCATTATAGTGGCTTCCTTTACACCTTGGCATCTAGGTAGGAACTAGGAAGAAATCTTGGCCGCAGTGGTGCCGCCCAGGATATGCCAGACGGGGGGTGGGGGAGCGATTTCCCCCAACCAAAAAAGTGGTCGTGATCGGGTGTCACTCGAAATTTTTTGAAAGTGTTCCATGGGGAAGAAACATATGACAATTCAGGGGTTTTAAAGGCTTTTTAAATCGATTTTGGGTATAATATTTTGGTATATAATATGTAGAAAATACATATGCATTTTTTTTCTCCCCGACGAATTATGGTTTACTCCCCGACGGGCGGTGGGCAGCTCTCCCCGACAGGAGCCCGTTATATACACTTTAATTAATGGGGAATCTCTACTCAGGTTGATCTCATGCTCAAGAAGAAATAATAGAATTTTAATATCAGTACTATTCTTGCAAGACACTTTTAAAAGAATTATGGATTTTTGTTTGTATACATAAATAGAACAAAATGAAATTATTTGAACAAGGTTATGCCATTACAAGTAAATATGTGCATACTAGTATTACATTTATTTGTCACATAAAATCTGGTAGTAGGCAAAAAACTTTAGTATAGAAGATTAATTATTATTGAAATTATGTAATATGATATGCTTCCAATGATTAATGTCTTCCATAACCACTTAAGCCAGGTATACACTGTCAGGTTTGTAAGACTATACTGAGGTTTGATCAGACTTTTGGTGAAGTTTGTCATCAGGCAATTCGTAGTTTAAACTACAAATTCAATCAATATGAACAAACATGCAACATAGGTTTATACTACGAGGTCATCGTAAAAATAATGTTTCATATCCAAATAACGATATTTAATTTATTTGATTGCTATTCCCTAATATTGTGGTCTAAAAGCACAGATTGGGCCATCCTCAGCCATGAAACCCTATCAGGGATTTTTATTTTGGAACCCTGACTGATGCTCTAGTCGGCCCCTTGGTTCGAACCTGACCCAGATATGTCAGACCCATGTAGGAAAATGTCTGAAGCCACCACTGGTTCATATCAGGTTTGATCAGACTTTTGGTGAAGTTTGTCATCAGGCAATTCGTAGTTTAAACTACGAATTCAATCAATATGAACAAACATGCAACATAGGTTTATTTTGATTGACCTTGGATATAGGCATGTTCAGTTCAAAATATAAATTGTGTTTTTGTTTGATTTCCAACATCATGGAAAGACACAATTTGTTTGTTCAGACAGTAGAACTCCTATTTTAATAGGGTAGACTTTGGGACCAAAATGTTGTCCCCTTAATAGAGGTATCTCCTGGACATAGTGTTGAAACATAATATAGTGTTACTCATTTCATGGCTAAAATGTGTCCCTTTAAAAAGGGGCTTCCCTTTAATAGGTGTCTCCCCTTAATAATAGGGGTTTCCCTTTAAAACTGGTGTCCGAATGCAGGGGTTTGACAATATGTCTAAAACATTACGATCAGTGTCCTTACACGTTGCGCAATC